TAGCACGTCTCCTTATCATTTCGAATCAAATGTTTTCAAAATTATTTTTAAGGCATTTATTTAACTTATTTTTATTGAAAGCTCACAATCGCTGGTCTTCCCTTTCCAAAAATTTGAACAGTTCTTCGTTTAGTCAATATGAATAAAAAGTTTTTTGAATTACACAAAGCGGACGCTTCGTTCTCTCAAAAACTGAATTATCATTTTTGGTTTTTTGCCCGGTATCTTCGAAACGGCTAGACCCGCCTATGCCAAAAACTAATCAGCATGTCTCCTCATCAATATTAATCGAATGTTTTTTAAATTATTCAAATCGGTTAATCCGTGTTCGCAAAATCGTCGACGAAAATTTGTATTTGCACCACACACACACGCGCACACAGACATACACACATGCATCCATTTTTTCTAAGGTATGCCAAAATATTCAGAAACCTTTGAAACGTAAAGATATATAAAAAAAATTATTTTCGATTTTTTGCCATAACTATACCCTATATTATTACTTTACGGGAAGTTAGTAATAATCACGTTGATTTAATACAGTTTTTACTACGCTCACACTCATGTAATCTATTTTCATATTTTTATTTAATCTTATTTCATATTTACTGGGATTTAAACTAATGAGTTGATTCAGTAATAAATTCAATTAGCACTTTTAGATGTCTATTGTGAATAACAGAAACAAAACACTAACTAGTAGTGCATGGCATCGTGCCTTAAGGCAAATTGCTGTAACTTCAGGTGCCGTTATAGTATTCGAATCAAATATTCAAAACATTTTAAATATTTGAAAAAATAAAAACTACATACACACACACATACGTATGTCAAAATGTTGAGAAACCTCTCAAAATGCAAAGATATGCAAAAAAATCATTTTAGATTTTTGGACGATCACTATAACCCTACGGAAAGTTGAAAAACACTCTGTAGATATATATATATATATATATATATATATATATATATATATATAACATATATTTATCTATATAAATGACAAAAATTAAAAAAACGATATTTAATTTCTTTGAGAAAAACACTTCACCCATCGAGCTTTCGATTATTACTGATACATATTTTTGAGATAATAATGAAAATACATGTTAATAGTTATTCAATGTATATTACTTAATATATAGATAGCGTTAAATAATTTAAATTCGAATATTTAATAAATTTGTTTAATAATGACAAAGATATGTTTAAAGCATTACAAACGCAATACAATAAATCAAGTTTGCGGTGGTCTCTGACATCAGTTAAATCCCGGGGTTATACCGTACTAGCACAACATGTCTAATTATATCCGGTTGGAATTTATTTAACTCGGCATTAATTAGAGAAATCCATTTTCATTGCATTAATTTATGCTCAAAGGGCAAACGACAACAACAAGTAGTTTTTAATTATAAATAATACGCATGCAGATAGAAATATTGATGGAAAATATATCATTACAATTTGCCTACGAAGTAATTAAAAATGTTCAACTTATTTTAGTATCTAAAATTAGCAATAATTATTTTTCGAAATATATTAATAATATCTTGAAAACATAAACACGCAATATTACGAACATTCACATGTATGTTTTAAAATGTATTATTCACATTGCTAATTATAAAATTGACTTAGTTTTAATTACCGCAAATTTTAAGATAAATTTTCATTCTGATTTTAATAAGTTTTAGAAAAATCTAAGTAGTATGACAAATAAGTTTTAAAATGCAGATAAAATAATGAACTAAGTTTTTTTTGTATACCGGAGGAAATGCGTTTATGCATCCCAGACTGAGTGCTTTGTTTGGGAATGTCGGACTCAATACCGCTTGGGGTATGTAGTGGGTATAATATCGACAAAAACCTCCTCTTATCTCTTGCCTCTGGTCCCACGGAAACCATCGTTAGGCATTACTTCATGGCAGAAGGATCTAGAATGCTCAAGTTCTCTTTCTGAGATTATACTTTACTTCCAATGAGTGCCATTTGCTCTTCTTCTTTCCGAAGATCGCAAATCGATCTTCCGAAGTTTATTAATTAGTCGGTAGCAATGGTATCTTTAGCGTTCCACACAGCTTTAGTTGTCAGCATCACTTTTACAACATTATCTGGAGTAAATTTTTGGCTTAACATTTTTTCTACACCATCCCGGAGTGCACTAAACAATACGGCAATCGGGCAAACAATGCGGGACTATCGAGCTTGAAGCGGTGTAAGTGGGCACGGAAACTGCCAAGCCCAGACAGCATTTGTATAATATAATAGACTTTGATATTTAGAATGAGACGACGCGTCTCTCTGCCCTTCACTGTTGCTGCCACCGGTCAAAGCTGTTCTGCCATTCTTCTATTCTCAACTATTCTATACTCAGTAGTTGATTTTTTTATTGGTAAATTGTACGTTCCTCCTATGCTAAGACATTGAGAGATATAGTTGACGCACATTGTTTCTACCGATATGCGCAGCAAACCATAAGGCACTCATAGGTATAAAGATTCTGCCATTTGCCCATACGGAAAGCCAACCAATCGAGTCAATTTTTATAAGTATTTTAGGTTTTCAAACACTGCTTTATCGAGTCAATTTTTATAAGTATTTTAGGTTGGCAATCCTTGCTTTATCGAGTCAATTTTTATAAGTATTTTAGGTTGGCAATTCCTGCTTTATAGAGTCAGTTTTTATAAGTATTTTAGGTTGGCAATCCCTGCTTTATCGAGCCAATTTTTATAAGTATTTTAGGTTGGGAATCCAAGCATAGAGGTAACTACAGCAGATAGTAATATTCATCTTCCTTATTTTTGGACTCCAACATTAGACATCAATTAGTGAACCGAGCACTAAAATGTTTCACCTGCTGATTGAAGTTTAGTCGAGAATCAAGAATTACGCCTAGATTTTCAGCTTGTAATAAGAACAGCCTCAATTAATTTAATAAAGTTGTAATGTCAACCAGGTAACAGTAACATTTTGTCATAAAACAAGTCGCATACGCTATCGCTATATCTGTATATAGTCCTCTTAATCAATGAAAATTAAGAGATTGATAGTTACAGAAATACTCCGCTAAACGCTGTTTCGTTTAGCACTCTTTCGATTTAGCGCTCTTTTAATTTAACCCAGATTTTGAAAGGATGAATGTGGAAGACTTTCTAATTAACTAAACAAGAAAAAAACAAAAATCTTGACAGCAGACTGCTGTCAGCAGTTATTCAGAAAAAGAGCAAAAAGAACTCCCGATGACGTTTGTAAAAAGAAGTTTGTCTACCATAACTAAAATAATGGATCATATCATTAAAAATGAGCCGAATTTTATCAGAAGTTCAAAAGTAAGGTATGGTGTTAAAGATACTCTGTCCATCTATGAAGAACTTATAAGAGAACAATGCAGAAGGAAAAGGCAAACAATATTAGATGCTTCTGTCACAAAAATGCAGAATACTGAAAACGCGGAAGGCTATCCAAATATGACTGATTTAGAATTTTATTTTAAGAATGTTCGTTTAATGATTTATGTTTTGTTTTTATTTTTGTAAGAAATAATAATATGATATTAATTTGGTATTAAAAGTAATAAATGTTTGGTTTTATTTTTATTTAAAAAAACATACTATTTAAGTTAAATACCTAATCAAATTCTTAACCATTTTTTGCTAACTCCTATATTTCCATGTAAATATAGCATTGTTCAACGTATCCTCCGCATTAAGCGGGCTATTACTGTACTTCTAAAATTATGAAAACAGAATATTAAAGTTTTGACTTGACCTGTGATCAAGTCGTGTCTTTTGGACGTTTTTCAAATCTGTAAAATCGGTCTTGGGTTTTTTGCGACAACGTGGACAAAAAGCTTACCGATCTTGTCGCAAATCTCATCACCGTGAGTTTATATAGCGTTATAGAAAATGTTTGAATTCGGTTTATCGTATTTGAGAAAATATCGAAAGGTCAAATTTTGGCTAACATGCACACACGTGCACTTTCTAAGTTTGGAGTCCAGAGATTCAGAATGACTTCAAATGCCAACAAAAAATTAAATTATCGAAACATTTTCTGGTGAGAACATAAATTTATTAACTTCCCGTAGGGTAAGTTATAGTAATCGCAAAAAAATCGAAAATGAAAATTTTAGCATTTCTCAACGTTTTAAAGATTTCTGAATATTTTGGCATACCTTATAAAAAATGGATGTATGTGTGTGTATGTGTGTGTGCGTGTGTGTGTGTTCGGATACAAAATTTCGTCGACGATTTCGAGAACACCGAACAACCAATTTAAATAATTTAAAAAACATTCGATTTGTACTGATAAGGAGACGTGCTGATTAGTTTTTGGTGGAGGCAGGTCTAGCCGTTCCGAAGATACAGGGCAAAAAGTGCCAAAAACGTTAACACGGTTTTTAAGAGAACGGAGCGTCCGATTTTAAAAAATCAAAAAACATTTTACTTGTATTGGCAAGATGAAGAATTGATCAAATTTTAATGAAAGCTGGTCTAGCGGTTTCGGAGATCTAATGAAAAAAGTAAAACAAAAAGCCATTTGGCGGTCAAAAATGATCATTAGACATATGCACATGATATTATCAGATATTTTATAGAGATTTTAACAATAAGTATAAATTTTGTTTACATTCCTATGGGTTCCGTACCAATGCTTATCCGTTAGACTTCGATATTTTGTCTCTATGCAGTTAAAGCAGTACGACTGCTTTGAAAAAAAGTTCAGATCTTTCAAAATATGTCAAAATAAACAAATAATTTTTGTTTCATAAAAAAAACTTAAAAAAAAAACAAAAAAAGTATTTTTTTGTTCAATTTATAGTTTCGCAAAAATCTAATTTTTTCGAAGTGATTTTTTTTCAAAAATGTTATTCGTTTTAAAAAAAATAACAATTTTTGATACAGGAAGTTCCCGCAATTTGCCTTAAGGCACGATGCCATGCGCCCCACTAGTTTTTATATAAAATGATAAATTTAAAGTAATATTAAACTTACCCAAGCATTACGAGTCGATAGCAATTCTTGAGCGGTGGCTGACTGTCATCACAAGATCCAGAACTACCCGGACTAGGCCCCGGACCATGCATAATTTCTATTACAGGACTAGCGGGCCGATCGCCGTTCGAAGTGTTGTGTCCTGCGACGGCGGCGTTGTTATTTTCACCCGGACTGGCAAAACCCGTTTTTCCACACAGCCAGCCGGCACAGCGACCCAGGGTGCTCGAGCATTCCATCGCCGCCGCAGCGATGGCGTCAGAAGGGGCGCATCGCGGCCGCCCGGACGCACCCGACTCGCTCGCGAATGCACCCGTTTCACTAATTAGTACTACTGGGTGTCGCCATTTGCACACTATTTATTGCAATATACAAAGTTCACTTTGTTTTACTTTTAGCACATGGTTTAAAATTTAATTTTGGAACTTATTTCAATTATCAACTTTCGCACCGTTGCACACACCCACTGTTAAGAATTAGGTATATTTTTTTTTATTTCAATAAAGTATCGTACTTAATGCTGCTTTATAGGTATAAGTTAAATCCAAAAGCAACAAAATTTGTGGTTACGATTATAGTCATTGATAAATTCTCATAACACGATAATATCGTATTAGCTATTTAATCTAGAAATTTGCCGAGATCGTATGTACTTGAGTTCTATTTTTGTTTTATTATTTCAGCGAATTTTAAGCTATTAACTTAACGTGATATTTTTTTTTAAATGAATCACTTTTATATTCAATAATATACGATTTAGTATAACTGTAATTACCACATATTCGGAGAAACAGATCTGGTTTCCAACTATCATAAAAGATTCTGAAAAAAAATGATTCACATTAATTATATTATGCTAATGTATCATCGATATTTTATTGCTACATGATATTAAATTATATAAATATTTATAAAATAGCTTGTCAGTATAAAAAAACTTAGGTTAGATAAAAAACAAGCATTTTTAAAATATAGATTAAATCATAGAATAGGGTTCTATAAATAATTAAATTGGTATAAAAACCAAAAGTAACTATAATAATGTTGATTGTTGAAATCTCTATGAAACATACATATCATAATTTGATGTGAACATTTCATGTCACCAAGCTACGCTTTTGCACTTTTCATGAACCAATTCAATCCGTTTACCGTCCGCTATAAAAAGCAGTAGGAAAAGTTGTGTTGCAACAAACATACATACTACACTCCCACTTACTACCACTACACTCACAGTTATAATTATTTTACCAAAGTATGACAATCAGAATGATCAGATGGTTTATAAAATTCAGCTATAAAAATGTTATTTATATCATTGCGATTCCTGTTGGGTAGAGCGAGGCTTATGATTCCGCGGAAAAATATCCATATCCGATATCTCAAAAACAAGTAAAGTTAAAATATCTTACAACAATACTAGAAAGTACAGGTAAAAAAAGGTATAACCAGCCATCACCTTGATACTCACGATAGTGATGTTATCCAAAGAAAAGGTAAGATTTGAAAATTTATAACGAAAGTATTTTCTTTAGTTATTTGGTTTTTAGTTGTAAGCTCTGTGATTTAGTTTACGAGACATGAATATAATTACTTGGTATATGTTACTTAATTGTTTGGTAAGAAGTATTTTTTTTAAGTTAGATTCAACAGTTTTTTTATATAACCACTATAAAAACTTGCATGTGCGTGGGTTTAAGAAAAACGGACCTTCACCCTGGCAAATGTGTAACAAATGAAAAATAGAAAATAAAATCTAAATTAAGTTTAAAAAAACAATTTTACAAGTGGTAAAATCAATAAGGCGAAATACTAGATCATTTTGTGTACAGAGTTATCTCTGTAAAAAATTTACCCTATAAAAAAAGTTATATTATGCATTGGTTAAATAATGTACCTCATATTTCGTAATATCAGTTTAAAATGGAAACAAAGGCATATTATTATTACGAGTATACACAAAGTACAAATTTTCGAAGAACAGCAAAAAGACATTTCTGCAGTGATGAATTAGCCAAGGTTTTCAATTAGCATATTCAGATAATTATTTGTTTGGTTTGTCTAATTTATTGTGATATAATTAACTTCCCAAAGGAGAACTTTATGTTTTCATAAAACATCCGATTCGCTAATTTTATGTTTTCTCGACGTTCCAAGCCATTCTGAATCGAATGAGACCAAATTTGGAAAAAGTATGTGTGTGTATGTATGTGAACATATTTTTGCCGTAAAAGCCATTTGATGTATCTCAATGAGGACTATCGTTTGTCAGTTTTCTGCGATGATAGGCCAAGCCGTTTTTTGTAATTTAGAAAGAAGTCTTAAAGTTTTCGTCCACATTTATGCTTATACTACCGAACCGATTTTAAAAAATCGAAAACTGTTCGAAAGATATTAGTTGGGAATGATACTGATTAGTTTTAGGTGAAAATCTACCGAGCCGTTTTCTTGTAATTAACTGTTGAAAAAAAAATTAAGCCGATTTTCATGGAATTTTTTTTGGAGATATATATCATGATCTTATAGAACTTGCTGAAGTATTACGGTCTTACGACAAGTAGTTTAATTTTAAAAATTCATCAAAGTTTGAGAAAATGAGTAGTTTTTTTGACGTTTGTTAAAATGTAAATTAAACGTTAGAGTACTTAATCTTAATGAACATACTAACCATTAAAGTCCTACGGAAACTGGTTCAATTACAAAAATTGTTGATTTTTGAAAATTTGCTTTTAGAAAATACTCCGAGTTAACGTGTTCGTTCGTTTTCAATTATGTGTAATAAATCCACTCGGAATACTTTTAATCACTCATAAATTAATTTATTTTTTATTAATTGAGTCGATTATTTACACATATCGGCAAGTTCATGTAATATGCCTCAAGGCAAAAAACCAATACCAACTAGTTAGTTTGGTTTTCACAATATAATTCAAAACTAGCTGTAAGTGGAATTCTGTCTTAAGGCAATTAAGGCATCGTGCCTTAAGGCAAATTGCTGGAACTTCCCGTGCCAAAAATTATTATTTTTTTAAAAACGATTAACATTTTTGAAAAAATTTTACTTCGAAAAAATAAGATTTTTTAGAAATTTTAAATTGGACAAAAAATTACTTTTTTTTTTTTTTTTTTTTTTTTTTAAATTTTTAAACAATTTTTTTTATAAAAATTTTTTTTTGGAAAAAATGTTATCTTCATTTTGACATATTTTGGAAGATCTGAACTTTTTTCAAAGCAATCGTACTGCTTTGACTGCATAGAGACAAAATATAAAGCGCGTAAGCGCCGCGTCGCTGTCTAACGGAAAAACATTGGTACGGAACCCATAGGAATGTAAACAAAACTTATACTTATTGTTAAAATCTCAATAAAATATCTGATAATTTGATATGCATATGTCTAATGCTTAATGATTATTGTTGACCGCCAAATGTTATTTTTTTTAGTTTTTTTTTACTAGATCTCTGAAACCGCTAGACCTATCTTCATGAAAATTTGATCAAATCTTCATCCTGTTAATACAAGTAAAATGTTTTTTGAACTATACAAATCGGACCCTCCGTTCTCTTGAAAACTGAGTTACCGTTTTTGGCGCTTTTTGCCCCATATCTTCGGAACGGCTAGACCTGCCTTTGACAAAAACTAATCAGCACGTCTCCTTATCAATACGAATCGAATGTCTTTTGAATTATTCAAATTGCTTCATACGTGTTCCCGAAATCGTCGACGAAAATTTGTATCCGAACACACACACATGCACGCACACACATACACACACACATACATCAATTTTCTCCAAGGTATGCCAACATATTCAGAAACCTCTGAAACGTGAAGATATATAAAAAATTTCATTTTCGATTTTTTTGCGATTACTTACCCTATGGAAAGTTAATTATAAATAAATCAATTTATCATCTCCAGAACATTAACAATCGTTATTTCATTTCGAATCAAATTCCAAAAAAAAAATAGTTGCCAAATTTACACAAAATTGAAAAAGTGCTCGCCATAGTCACAGTCTAAACGCATTTGCAAATAATTCTGTGCGACATTTTCACTTATACTGTGCTCAGCTTGGCGGCATTTTCACATTTTTCAATAATTTTCACAAAATTGGAAAAGTGCTCCAATACACAAGCAGTCTAAACGCACATGGGTGAACATTTGTACCAGAGTGGCGCTTAGACTGTGCTTAGCTTGGGTGATTTTTTGAATTTTTAATCCAAAATTACAAAAAAATTTTTTGAAAAAAAAATTAGAAACAAAAAATTTTTTTTTCCAAAATCAATTATTTTGTTGAAAAAAGCAGAAAGTTCTTTGAATCATTTAAATCGGACGCTTAGTTCTCTCAAAAACAGACATTTTTTTTAAATTTAGCTCTGTATCTCCGAAACCTCTGGGCCTACCTTTGCCAAAAACTAATCAGCACATCTCTCTATCAATAGGAATCGAATGTTTTTTAAACCATTCAAATCGGTTGATCCGTTCTCTCAAAAACTCGCTTTCTATTTTTTGCACTCTTTGCTCCATATCTCCGTAACGGCTGGACCTGCCTTTGCCAAAAACTAATCAGCACATCTCCCTATCAATAGAAATCGAATGTTTTTTAAACCATTCAAATCGGTTGATCCGTGCGCCCGAAAACGTGGACGAAAAAACGCGGACATACAAAACACACACACACACACACACACACACACACATCCATTTTTTCTGAAGTATGCCAAAATGTTCAGAAACCTTCAAAACGTCGAGAAATGTAAAAAATTTTGATTTCGATTTTTGGACGATTACAATAACTTACCCTACGGGAAGTTAATAATAACAATAATAATAATAATTTGCTCAGATTCAAATTGGACCGTTGTGCCTCGCCATACCCTGAAGGTTTTGAAATGCAAAATATAAAAGTAATAATATAAAACGTGCAATACAAAAATATTTTGCACAACAATTTCAGATTATCAAACAAGTGGACTGAACTAATAAGATATCCTTTCATATGCCATGAATAATATATCATATATATTCATGTCGAGTATTCATTGAGCCTAGTGGGTCGAGTTTCCATAGACTTACGATTCCCCCGGGTGCTTTTTAATGCGATGCCATTTACCGGGCACATGGATGATGTGACGAAACACCGTCACAGAGGGACAGTCGAATTCGACTTCCCGGAAAATCGAAGCTCGTGCCCTAGTTGCATGATTAAGGGACGACACCGAAGATCGCGTGGGTT